GAAAGAAAGAAAGAAAGAGAAAAAAAGAAAGGAAAAAAAAGAAAAACAGGAAGAAAGACAGCCTCATTAACAAATGTTGCTGAAAAAAATGGCCATCTACATGCATGAGAACAAATATAGATCCATATCTCTTACATTGCACAAAAATCAAATAAAACTGGAGCAAAAACCTAGATAGAAAAACACTAATCTTTTGGAAGAAAAAATACATAAAAGTCTTGGGGACACAGATATAGGCAAGGACTTCATGAACAGTTGCACAGAAATAATATCAGGAATCAACAAATGGGATTGTATCAAATTAAAAATCTATAAGCAAAGGAAGCAACCAACAGAGTAAACTGATAATCTATAGAGTGAGAAAACCTTTTTGCCAGCTATTCCTTAGGAAGAGGACTAACATCTAAAGTACATAAAGAACTAAAATGAATGAATGAATGAATGAATAAATAAATAAATCCTCCCTAAATAAATGATAAAAACTATGAAATAAACACTTCTTAAAAAGTACAAAATAACCAATAAGTACATGAAAAATTTTCAGCATCTTTGGCAATCAAAGAAATGCAAATTAAAACAACACAAAGGTATCATCTCTCCAAGGAAGGATGGCTATCATCAAGCATTCAAAAAAACCAAATGCTGGTGACATTGTGGGGGAAAGAAATCCTTCTACACTATATTGTTGGTGGAATGTAAACAAGTACAACCACTTGGGAAATCAGTAGGAGATTCTTTAAAAAACTAAAACTAAGAATACTATTTAATCGAGCTATACTTCTTCTAGGTATCTTTCGGAAAAAGTTAAAATCATCCTATCACAGGTATATATGCATACCCATGTTTATAGCAATGCAATTCATAATAGCTAAAGTACAGAAGTTATATGTCCAGCAACAGGCATATGGATAAAGAAATGCAGCATTACTGCATCATTAAAAAAGTAAGGTTAAGTTATTTGTAGGAAACGGAATAGATCTTGGGACTATAATGCAAACTGAAATAAATCAGGTATAGAAGGATCTATATCACATGGTTTCCTTTATATGAGAAGCACAGAATATAAACATTTTAAAGAGCAAAACAAAAGACAGATGGTAGGGGCCAGAGAGATAGTTCAGAGGCATAAGGACCTACGTGGCAAGCCCAAGGACCTTGGCCCCACATGCTGTGTGGTCTGGGCCTTGGATCCCAGGGCATGCTGTCTCGGCCCCAGATGCGGGCGCCCACCATGCAGCCCCAGCCCCAGAACCAGACATGGTGGTGCACACCTGTAATCCCAGAACTCAGGAGGTTGAGCCAGGAGGATCTCTGCAAGTTCGAGACCAGCCCAGGGGCTAAAAAAGTGAGCACAAGGCCAGCCCAAACTGCAGAGTGAGACCCTGTCTGAAAAAACAAACAAACAAAAAAACCCACAGATGGTAATAGGGATGTAGACTTTGTGAAGATGGGAAGGGGCTCTGGAGAGGGGAAAGATGGAAGAGAGAGAGCAGAAATGATTATGTCTCACAAAGATATACCAATGATCAATATATAGGAAAAAGAAACAAACTTAATGATTTGTAAAAATCTGCATGTAATGAAGCATTCCAACTAAGGAAGGAAGGAAAAAAGAGGAGAACTTGCCACTAAATGCAGCTTGTAGATCAGTACACTCTGAAACTTGTTCCGTTATTAACTTCTAGAAAGAGTAGATGGCTATCCACCTTCATGCCTTCACTTCTTCCTGTCCTGTGAACTCTGAGACCAGAGCCCTGCATTCTTTAGATGCCACCCAGTGTTTCGGGGTGGCTCAGGCCAGCTCCCCAGAGCACCTGCTAAACAGCCAGAACCTGTGAAAGCTAAAACCACTGGCAGAATTTCAGTTTTGTTCCTTTCATCTTCATTTTTCCCTTACTTTCAGAGAGCCAGTGTCTTAGCACCCCAGTTAATCATCCTGCTGCCGCTGAGCACAAGAAGCAGCTGTGCACCACACACCTGGTGGCCATCCCAAAGAGTCTGTGCCTAGGACATAGCCATCTGGCCGTGAACCTGCCACTGCAGGTGGAGCACTCCCACATCATTGTGTTTTCAAAAACTCCCAATCTGTCAGGAATGGCAGCACATGCCTATAATCCTAGTACTCAGGAGGCTAAGACAGGAGGATTGCTGCAAATTCAGACCAGCCTGGGCTATATAATGAGTTCAAGGCCATCATGGACATATAACAAGACCTTTTCTCAAAAGTAAAACAAAACAGTGTATTCAAAATGGTTAGGATAGATATATAGTTACATTCTCTTAATGAATAGAGTGATTTGTTCTAATGGTGTTTGTAAATAAGATCTCATGTCCACATCTTGTACAGCAATTAACCACTAAGAAGAATGTATACAATGTGTTAATTATTGAAACGGTCCTACCAATTTGGTTTGAAATTGTCTCATTGCTATTTGTTTCTCAATAAAATTATGGGAAAAAAGTATACCACAAAAAAATAAATAAACACAAAACAAAACAGATAAAAACCAAAAAGCTCTGCTCAATTCATTAATGCTTTCTGGCCCTCAATATGTAATACAGAGGTAGCTACCCTTCCTTCCTCCCTCAACTTCCAGCACACTCCATCTGGGTGCAGCAGTCTTCCTGCCTTTTCTCTGCAATCTCTTCAAGGTGTTCAGTCTGCCCATCTATTTGCACATCACAGTAGGCAAATCCCAAGTCACTTCTTTTCCTTCCTCTAGAGGTCTCTCCAGTTAGCCTCATCCTATCTTACAGCTACATTCAATCTGGAAGGGGTCTTACCTGCAGGGCCACTTACCTGAGCTCCAGCTGCCAGCAGCAGCTGCACACACCGTGCCTGGCCCTGCAGACTGGCTGCATGCAATGGTGTGATGGAGTCCACCGTAACCTGGTTAACACAGGCACCGCTTTCAATCAGCTGCTGGAGCTGCAAGCTCTCACCTCGCTGGGCAGCCTCATGGACAGGAGTGCGCTCCACCCAGAAACCTGTAGAAGAAAGAGAGCTGTGCTAAGATCTTCACACTTCTATCCAGGACACATAAGCACACATAAGACCCCCAAAGTCCTTTGAGAACATGTAGGCTACAACACAGTCATGTAATTCACCCCAATATTCCTAGTAAAATACTTAAGTGATCCCCACTGTTTGGATAGTGGAGTTCAAACTGCTTGGCAGGTGTGTGTTCACATCTCTGTGAACCCACTTGTAGCTCATCATTGCCTCCTATCATTCTACACCTATGTCTCTCCATACTATACCCTCTTAAGAAGGGTGCCTTGTCCAATAGTAATGAATAGTAGTCCCATAATTAGTATTGGGTGGTAGTGAGAAGTAGCTATGTATTCCTTGAAGGTCAATGTGGGGGAACCAAAACCCTAAAGTAGAAAGATGTGTTTCAGCTTTAAAAAGAAGAGGGGAGCCCGCAGAGATAGCTCAGTGGTCTAAGCACCTGCCTAGGCAAGTGCAAGGACCCAGGTTCCATCCTTGGCACTACATGCTGTGTCAGCCCTGCCTTGGGTGCACCAAGCCAGCTACCAAAACTGGACATGCTGGTGCACACCTGTAATCCCAGCACTGGGAAGGATGAAACAGGAGGACCAATACAAGTCTGAGCTGTGTAGTGAGATCCTGTTCCAAATACATTAAAAAAGAAAAAGGAGAAGAGGGGGAGAGGTAGGAGGAGGAGAAGGAGAAACAGGAGGAGGAGCAGGTGGAGGAGAGAGCAGAGTGATCTCTTGGTCTTGTAGTAAAAAAACAAAGTGTGCTTCAGGAAGACAACCAGGTCAGAGAAGTCCTTGGAGCATAGCCCACATGGAAGGTGTGCCTCCCATCACAAATCCATTTGACAACACATCTAGATGGCGTCAGCATCCTCCATTCCCAGGTGCAAAGATGAATAAGATGTAGCAGCACAAAGTTCACAGTCAGAGACAAGGGAAAGGTAGAAATAATCCAAAGTACACGGTAACTGTGACAGTGGAGAAACACTTCAGGTAATGGGAACTTAGAAGCAAGATCCCAAAGGTGACAGGAAAGCATCACTGAGGGGAAGCTATGGCTGTCCAGATCAAGCTTTGCTTATTCATCTGTATTCCTAATACCTAGCATGGTCCATGGCTCAATCAAGGTGCTCATGTCCACTTGCTTGTTACTTTGATGCATGCATGAGAGAATAAATGAATTACTAACATGAATTGTAAAGTCTAGGCATATAATTTTTTAAAAGAAAATCTAATTCTAATTCTCTATATATCCAGTCTTTAAAGGAAACAAAATATTGGTAACCATTTATAGCTTACATCTAGATGTCCCCCTAGGACCTCAGAGGTGAGATTTTGGGAGGTGGCTGGATCAGGAGTGTGTGACACTAGATTTAGGGTGTCTGATATTCAATTAGCCCACTGATTATTTATGTATAGTTCTGGCTGGGGAGGAACAGATTTACTGAGGACAAAAACCCCAACCTGGGTGTGGATGCCACCAAGCAATATGCTTGTAACTTGGATGGAATATAAAGGGAAAGAGTGGCCATAGTTGCTTCCTGTCTGCTGTGCCGTGGACTCTCCCCTGCCATGCTCCTCCACCACACTGCCTTGCCTTGAAGCCAGGTGACTATGGCCTGGAACTGCTACAAACTGTGAGCTAGAATAAACTGTTCCTTCTTTAACTTGTAGGTGTCAGGTATTTTGTTCTAGCAATGAGAAAGTAACAAAGACCATAACTATATTTTCTAGTGAATAAACATCAGGTGAAGTTGTCTTAGCAGCAACAAATGAGGACAGAGTTCAGAATTGGTATATGTGAGGAGGGAAAGAAAAAAGGAAGGGAGGGGAAGAGAAGTGGAGGGAGGCAGAAGTTTTTGTCCATCTAAGGGCACAATAGACAGGACAAACCATTCTCTATGTAAAGACAAGCAGCCAGCACCACAGAGCTTGAAATCCCCAGTAAGAGGTGAGGGACAGGGCAGCAGGTAGACATGATCCTTAGATCTATCCCTGAACCTCAGAGAGTGAACATAGGCAATGTGGTCAGTTAGTAAACTGACAGGCAGGTCCTGACTTCAGGTTATTTCCAGGTCCTGTGCCTGGCCTCCAGCTGTGACAAATGACCCTCTTCTTGATTCCAGCGCCATCTCCCTGGGGAAAACTGTTCAGCACATTGCCTCTGGGGCTTGAGTTCTGCAACTAAGTCCTTGCCAAATAGTTGATCTTCCATCACCCCCATCCCCTCCCTGTGAGATACTTAAAATCATAAGTCAGTCATAAGGGACCTGCTTACAGTTACTCACTAGCTCCTTTCTGCAGGATAAAACTGGCATACATGATCCCAGCCTGTTTTTAGTCCCTCCTCCCACCCATCTTCAATGATACTGAACTCCATACAGTCTAGACTGTCACATGGTCTCTCCCATGCCTCCATGCTGTGTATGTTGTTCTTCCTTTGTCTAGGGTGCCCACTCTGCACTCCCTTGCTTCTTCTCACTCCACTCCAGCCAAGCTAGTAAATTCCTCCTTGTCCACCAAGATCCAGCGAGACCCAACGGAATGTTTACTCCTCAGGAAGTCTCCAACTCTGTGACCGACCTGCCCTACTTTCCACTATCTCTGAACTGACATTTTTTTTTTTTTTTTTTTGAAATGATGAGGGCTAATCTGTAGACATGCCACATCTAGAAATGTAGAGGGACAAAATCGGGTGTAGTGGTGCACACCTGTAATCCCAGAACTCAGGAGGTTGAGACAGGAGGATCTCTGCAAGTTCAAGACCAGCCTGGGAGCTACAAAAATAAGCACAAGGCCAGCCCAAACTACATAATGAGACCCTGTCTCAAAAAAACACAAATGTAGATGGAGGGAGGTGGCCAACCACATATGCTATAAATCACTGTGGGAGAACCAGGAATGGGCACTGGACACAGAAGGGGGTGGTTTTCTAGAGGTTCTCAATGGGCTCATCTTTAGCTCTCAGGAAAGGTCCAAGGTGTGTTGAGTGACTTATCACCCAGGACCCTGGAAAGCTAAGGTCTGTGCACATAATAGTGAGTGGTAGAGCTGAGAGGGGCCTTAGAAGTCCTTCACAGTTGATGTTCCCAGCAAAGGACACCAAGGTACATCCTCTGTTCATGACTAGTCTGCTCTCTAAACCACAATACAATGACACATAAATACAAGGACAAGCAGTAACCTCTTAAGGACAATGAAAGGACCTTCTTTGCCCTAGTGGAGCTCAAGAATAACCACACCTCTTCTGCAGGACTGTTGTGCTAACTAAAGATAGTTTTTGTAGCAAGAACAGCCTAAAGTGTGTACTTACTAAATGTCATTAATCATTATTACCAAACCCTAAACCTTCAGCCTGCATTTAAATTTTAGCAGACTTGAATTTAGCCATCATTTTGATTCCCAAAAGAAAATATATCTTTTTTTTTTTTTTTTTTTTTTTAATGTATTTTGGTACAGGGTCTCACAGCTCGGACTAGTAATGATCCTCTTGTTTACAACTTCCCCAGTGCTGGGATTATAGGCGTGCGCCACCAAGCTGATTCTCTGTAACCAGCTCGGTGTGCCTGGGGGCTAGGCTGGCATGCCATGTGGTGAGGAAATATCTCTTTACTTGTAGGAACCCTTTCCTAAAAATTTGGACTATTGTTTACTGCTTTTGAGATATTTTTCAACAATGTGTTTTTAAATGTTTTAATTATGAATCCCCAAATACTTTTCCAGTTAATTTCAGGTCAAATGGCATAGATTGTGATGCATTTGATGAGGTAAAAAATTAAATATAAAATGATTGACTTTTAAAGGCCAGCCAAATAACTTAGTGGATTAAAGCACCTACACCTGCAAGCAGGTTGAGGGGCTGGGGGTTCAATCCACAGGCCTGCTGTGCCAGCCCTGCCCCTGTGGCACACTGAGATGGTGATTGAGACTGGGCATGGTGGCTTGTGCCTATAATCCCAGCACTTGGGAGGATATAAACAGGAGAGTCACTACAAGTCCAAACTAGTAGTGAGACCCTGAACACCCTGTAGACCCTTCCCTAAAAGTTCAGGGAAAAAAATGATTGACTTTTTAGAAGGATAAAACAGTCAAAACTCTATGAGTCAGAAAAACAAAGGAAAAGTAAAAGATAAACAGAAAGTGAAAGTGTATTGCCTAAGAAGTACAAGACAACCAAGTAAAAGGAAAGACAGTACTTAATGAATGATGGAATGATGGATCTTCTTCCATGCAAGAGCTCCTGAAAACACTGAATTAGACTCCTTAATTTCTAAACTTTCCCCCACAAAGCTTTTTGCTTTTTTTTTTTTTTTGTGGAACCAGGGATTGAACTCAGGCCCTTGAGTGCTTGCTAGGCAAGTGTGTATTCTACTGAGCTATATCCCCGGCCCCTCCCCACAGCTCTTTAATCACCCAGTGATTTACCTTGACTCCCTCCCTTGCCTTCACCATCCCAAGATGCTTATGAACAAAGGGTGGAGAAACACCTCACCCGGGTTTCCAAGTCCCAAGCACAAAATATAGCACAACTGTGGTTTGCCTTACAAAGACATGAGCTATCCTCCCCTTCTTCCTAGTCTCCCTGTGGGGACATAAGAAACCATCTATGCCTCAGTTTTCCTACAATCAGAGGTAATGTTTCAAGGGCCATTTTATAGAGATAATCAAAAAATGATATACGATGCTTTGCAGTCTGTAACTGCACTTTTCAAAAGTCAGACAGCTTGGCAGTCTAAGCGCCTGCCTGGCAAGCTCAAGGAGCCAGGTTCAATCCCCAGTACTACATGCCATGTTGGCCCTGTGCACGATCCAGCCTCTGAATCCAGGTGTGGTGGCACATGCCTGTAATCCCAGGCCTTGGAAGGCTGAGACAGGAGTATCAATATGAGTTGCTTAGCAAGACTTTGCACCAAATAAATAAATAAAAGATTTTTTTAAAAAGTCAGTGTATATCTAGTACTTCGATTCCTTTTTCAACTCTCCATAGGCTTTTCTGGTTTTTTTTCTTTTGTTTTGGTTTGATTTTGATTGTTTTTGAGGCTGAGTCTCACTATATAGTGCAGGCTGGCCTTGAACTCAAAGCAATCCACCCCCGAGTGCTGAGATTGGAAGCATGCACCACCTCGGCCAGCAGTTTTTCTGACTTACTCGTCAAAGTCTTTGAATCTCTATTTTAGGATAACTTTCCAGAATCTCTCTATCCCTTAGAAAATGTTCTGGGTTATGACCCCATTGGATTCTCATTTTAAAATTCTGTACAGAGTAGAGGACGTTGGAGCTTGGGGACATTTCCAGAGAATGCTGTGGATCTTTTCTGTTCCCCTGCCCAAACATTTTATTAAATTGAGAGTAAGAGGGAGAGGAAGAATAAATCCATATAAACAAACAGAAAAACAAGTGCATTTGAAGACAGCACTTGAGGGTTGTGTTCAGGAAAATTTGAGGAGCTGGACAGCAGACATGGTGACTCCTTAAATTCATTCTACTTACTGAAAAGGTCACATTCTAAGACTCTGTAATCATTATTTCTATGAGAACTCATATTAAAAATGGAAAATCTACATGTTTGGGTTAGAGTATACTACAGATACAAAATATGAGGTCATCCTAGCACTCCAGGAAGCTGAGGCAGGAGGATCACAAGTTTGAGCCCAACCTGCGCAACTTAGTGACTTAAGAAGACCCTGCCTCAAAACAAAAATAAAAATAAATTTCTAGGGATAAAGCTCAGCAAGAGGGCCCTAGGTTCAATTTCCAATATCAAAAATAAACAAGCATTGAGGTCAGAATGTCAATATGGGTTAAAGCTCCTACTGGAAGGCTCCACTTTTGCAGGGATAGCATTAGTATTTTGCATCCAACACATTCAGCTTATTCACTAGGACTGGAAATGAAATGTCAGCAGATCATATTTTTGGAGAGATACATTAAATAAAAAATGACATGTTCAAAAATACCCATGAGCCCAAGAAATGCAGAAAAAATGCTCTCAGAAGTGAAACCATATTATTTTGACCCTTTTACCTGCAGAAAACAAAATGTGTGTTTAAATAGGCTTCAGTGATTAGCTGTTCCTTGAATATTCAATTGAGTGCACTGAAGAGTGATCACACTGCCAGAGTCAGGGTCAAAGTCTTGTGCCAGCCTGGAGTGGAGGGCCAAGAGAACAGCCACTCTTTCATGACTTTGATCATTTTGAAGGAGGCTGTTCTGCAAGATCAATTAAAATATCTCTACCAGGCTATGTCTACAATTTCCTCTTAAATAAGTTTACCACTTAAGACTTTCCCCTTTTGTTTGCATTAGTATTTTTACCAGTGTAAAAACACCTTAAGTTTTTTTTTTCTTTATTCCCAAGCTTCAAAGTGCTGTCGCCATTTATTTTGTCTGTCATACTCTTCACAGGCAGAAAAATTTCTTTCCCCAAGAATGTTCTTTTGCTTTAGAATCCATTTTATTGTTGGGCTACCCAAAAGGTAAAGAAAGCCATGTGTAAAACTGAAATCACCTTTCTCACATGTGCCACCGGTGTCCTGGGGGTGTCCTCAATGGGGGGGGGCACTGTCCACAGGTGCACCCAAAGGATGCTCAAGACAGCCCGCACGGCCTTCCAGGCGCGCCGGAATAGGTTCTGCTCGGCAGTGGGTTTCTGCCTGCCCCGCCAATGGTTCCCTGTGGCCCCTTCCCAAGCTTCGCCCCTCAATAGGGGTGGAAGGCCAAGTGCACAGACCCTTATTCCTGCCTTTGATCATTTATGAAGGAGGATGTTTTGCAAGATGAACTAAAATACTTCTGCCTGGCTATGACTACAATTCCCTCTTAGCTAAATTTATCACTCAGGACTCCTCCCTTTTGTTTGCATTAGTGCACCCGTTCCGCGCCTGCATCTTTCCCAGCGCGCTGCACTCTGGTGGGCTGCGGTTCTGAATCTCCACACCACGTGCATCACACTGCTGAGCAGCCTTGCAAAGTGCGAATCAGGTGCCAGGTACCGGCCGGATAGAAGAGCTGGTCTGAGATGTTCGGAATTACCAGGTCCCTGCTCCACCCGCGCCTTGTCACCAACTGACCCAGACAACCAGCTCGAAGCAGGGCGCGTCCCCCTTCTCCGGGATGAAGGCCATCAGATGCGAGTCTACCGTCCCCCAAAGGGACTCCTGTAGTCCCTGCTCCCCGTTCTCTGTCTCGCGCCTGTGGCGACCCTCACATACCCACGTCGCCCAGGAAGCAGCTGTCCGCCTCCCTCGGCTCCATGCGGCTCCCTGGCCAGGCACTCCCGCCTCGCTGCCCCGGCTCAAGGCTCTAGAACCAGTGCCGGACCAGGCAGGCGGCGCCAGGCCGCTGGGCGGGAGCAGCCTGTCAGGATCCAGCGTCCACCGGAGGTGGCTGCGTGCCGGGAGTTGTAGTTCTGCAGTCCTGGCGCGATGCCCGGATCGTAGGCTGCCTCAAGCATAAATCTGTGCACAATATAAGTATCCGTGAGTAAGTATGTTACCCTTTCCGGATATATGTCCTATGCAAGTACGAGTCCCGGTGCAAAATGTGTCTCTGTGTCCCTATGCAAAACATGTGCTTGTGCACAACATGTGCCCATTTGCAAAGCATTGATCTATGTGTTCATATGCAAAATAGCATGTGTTCTTGTGTCCTGTGAAAGTCGTGTTTGGTGAAAAACACGTGTGTCTATGTACAAAACAGGACCAGTCACCAAGACTGCTGCTTTGTGCTGATGTTTCCTGGAGACCACTGTAATGAGTCAACTCACGTTTTAGATTAAAAATATAAATCTTGGGCTGGAGAGATGGCTCAGTGGTCTAAAGCACCTACTTAGAACAAGCTTAGCAAAAGCATCAGGGACCGCGGTTCAATCCCCCAGCACCACATGCCA